CCCCAAAACCCCAAAACCCCAAAACCCCAAAACCCCAATTTCTCCAAAATGGCTGATATTCCTTCTAAATCTCCAAATTATTTTGATAAAAATCTGCTTGGAGCTCTTCATCTACCGCTATATTTCTAGTGGTGACCTCTTTCGACTTCTGGCTAGACCTCTGACTCGACCTAGTCATCTTCTATGTGGATAAGGTGAAGCAAGAATTTGGAGCTGAAATAGAAGGAATTTAGAAGGAAAACCAACCTTTCTTTGAAGCGAAGTTGACATCTTAGACAAGGCCTTCAGTTCACTAGAAAGTTTCCCATTGATTTCGTCGATTTGAAGCAGGGTTTGGCTGACTTGAGAAATCTTACTCTCAAGTTCAGTAATTTTACCTGTCTTAGCTTTCATAGACTTTGTGTGAAGTTTATTATTAGTTTTTATCTAAATTTAAACCAAAATATACTATATACTCCACTGTTTCTTTCTTCTGTATTAGCTCTTGCAACTTATTTATCAGATTCTGGCTCTAAGTTATTTGAAGTAAGCTTGTTTTCTATAAAATATATAATTAACCTGAATTTGCTATGTGCGTATTATTTACTTGTCAAGAATAGCCATGAATCTTGTTGCAAAATTTAAACAGTAAATTTGCACTGGTTGGTAATAAATATGCAATAGAGGCTACTTACGAAGAATCAGGTTCTTGTTCATCCGTAAAGTTCTGATCTCTGACTGAATATCTGCTATTTCAGATCCTAAAGCTTGATTCTTAAGCTGGATGTCATGAAATTCTTTGTCCCTCTCATGCTTGTCATTTTCTAGATTTGAGGTTAGAAATTCAAGGCTCATTTCCTGTGAAAGAGTGAATATGAGAATAGAAAATAGGTTACTCAGTAGATGAAACTAGCAAGTCATTTTCAAATTATGGAAAGAAAATCATCATTAGTTCAACAGAGATAGATAATTCTTTCAGGCGTGATAAATTTTTGAGCAGTTTTAGAATCCTTATAAATTATTGTAATTTATAAAAATTTGATATCTTCACATAAATTTTGAGAGGGCAGAATTTAAGTAAATAAATCTAGTAAGATTTGAAATTATTTATTATAGGAAGCGAAAACTTACTAAATGTTTTAAACTCTACACCCATCTGGTGCTTAACTTCCTTGACTTTTTCCTTGTTCACTTCGCCATGCTCAAACTTTTTCATCTCTTGTAGTTGGTGCTTCAAAAAGTCTGCTTGTGCCTGCATCTCGGTAGTCTCACTTTCCAAGTATCTTCTCTCATTCATGAGCTCAAACATTTTGTTTTGGTCTGTTAATGATGAACTATAATGTGGTCATCTGGACTTACCTTCATATTAGCTCAAATTCATTTTGTAAATTCTTGACCTTTTTATTTCTCTACTTCGATAGCAGAATATATCTTTGCAAGAGTTCGCTTTTTCTGCCTTAAGTCAGCATCTGTCTGGTTCTAAATATAATCTAATTGAGTACTGTGCGAGTTATCGGTTTCATGCTTTTGAGGTTAGCAGCTTTGGAAATGCCTTTTGCTACAATCTCAGCACAGATATTCACTTTCTTGACAAGTTTATTTATTATTTTGCATTAGGAGTTCTATATGGGTATCAAGTTCTTCACTTTCAACTTCGTTTAGGCCAGATTCATCTAGATTATCAACGTTAGCCTCTAGTTCTTCTAAGGCGATTTCGATGTCTTCTATGCCATCGTAGACTGTATTTGGGTTAAAATCTTGGGTGACTTGAGCACCGGTGTTGAACAACCTCCGTCTGTATCTCTTGGCCATGGAGTTTCTTGATGAAAAATTACTGTTAAAAGCAGGCCTATTATTAAACATACTAGAATTCAGCTGTGGCCTTTTCTCTGAGTAAGTAATGTATCGATTATTCTTAGGAGATGACCTATTCGTACTTGCATGATTCTTTCTCCTTATTTTCTTAGGGAAGTTAGGAGCTTTTACTACTTGTGGGAGGGCCATTGAGTTGTTCAAATTATGTCCGAGATTAGTTGTCTCTGGTTCCTCTGGAGATCTCTCATTTATATTATCACCTTCAAGGTGATTGACCTCGTCTTTCACTTGAGTAGGTTCAGCATCTGCCGAGTTTGAGTCGCTCTAAAATAACAATTGAGTAATTATTGGTTAAACTACAATACAAGTATAACTCTTAGTGTTTCTATAGAAATTTACCATAATTAAGTTTTTATTTTCAATTTAATATTGAAATTTAGGGGTTTTGGGGTTTTGGGGTTTTGGGGTTTTGGGGTTTTGGGG